AACAAAGCTCATTGTGTGGGTGTAAGGCAGTTTGGGAAATTGAAACCTTCACATTTGATCAGATCAATCAAACTTTCTCTCTAGTTTCTGTAGTTGATGTTGTTTTTTTTCTTTTGTACCTTATCAGTATGCTAGAAGAGGTGAGTCATTTGCTCCATTTGTTTATTTAAATCTCAGCATTTCTGTATAGGCCCTGACAAATGCAAAAACAAAAATATAATGAAGAACCCAAAACAACACAAAGCAGATTAGAGACAGGTATATTCTGGAACCTGCANTATATATATATATATATATATATATAGGTATATAGCTACAAAAGCTAAAAGAGAAAGCACCCAAAACAAATAAAAACTTAAAGGTATAGTGGAGGATCTTCGCAAACTTTTGAAAAGACCCGCCCTCTCCACTTAAAAAAAAACACGTGCAAGAGCAGCATGAGCCCTTTTCTCCTTGTGCACGCCTTGTTAAAAAGTTGCTGTTTGCATCACTCATACAAGCTTACTTTCTTAAAGAAAATTCGCAATTTTTCTACTTAGGACAGCTTAGCAGGTAGGATAGCTCTACGTAAACATATCACCAGAATGATTGACAATAAGAAGGACCACTTATTTGGATTATCCACCCGAAAAAAGAACTTCCCCCACTATACCTTTAAGTTAAAGAATTGTCAACAACTGCACGAAATGATACTAGATATTTAAGATAAAGTACAGAGAAAAATACTAAAATACTAAATAAGATAAACTTTAATTTAAGCAAATAAAGAGGGGCCAGCTTAACAAATAGCTTATCTAAAAATTAATTAGCTCTTTATGGTGTTCCAATGTTTCTAATAGAAATGATTAATGAAAAAATATTGTTTGGAATGCATTCTTTCAATAGCAAATACATAACTATAAGCTAAGGGGTGCTGTTGTAACCCTAAAGACATCTTATTATTGCTAGTATTAATTGAATCTACTCCATTGAAAATAGTCTTTTTTTATGCTTATACATTTTTTTCTCATCACAATAATCCTACTAGCTTTTTTAAAGTGGTCTAATTAATCCTCAGAGTAATTAAACGTTCCCTCTGCCAATGTTATCTGTTGATGTAAAAAAAAAGTTTTTATAGAGACATCTAAACAGCCTGAATTTTAAACGCAAGTTACTAAGTTGGATATTATTCACTTATAATTTGCAGATATTGAACATGCCTCTTTTCCGGAATACCTTTGCTGTGGTGTATATTGGTAAAAAGAAAAAAAAAAACTTAAATAACATGTGACACCTCTTACTAAAAGCATTCCTTCCTGTTTTATTCAGTGTCATGTTTCATTTAGGATTGGAGAAACAGAAACTACATTTAAATATATTAAATGTAAAATACGTGTTCTGGAAAGATGACATGCAGCATCTCAGCTACAGGGAAGCCAGGATGCAGCACCTGAGCAATGCAAAAAAAAAAAAAAAACCCACCAAGCTTTGAATGTGAGGCTTGTCTAAAATCTCCTTATATGTCATTCTTTGTCCGTCATTGATTGATACAGCTTTATTAAACCACAATCCAGTACAGAGACACAGACTGTGTGGGTGATGGAGTGAGTAAATAATCTGTCACATCTTCACCTGAATCACACATATAGAAATACTCTAATGAGAAAGTGATGCCTGCTGGTAAGAAAAGGGCAGAAGAGAAATTTCACCTTGTTCACTATCGATTGTGTTGGGTAGATCATTTAAACAATTCAATTACAGCAAAAGCCTTTGTAGCGGGGAATTGATCTCCTTTTTTCCTCTGGTGTTCACTTAGTTTACATCTTTAGTGCATGTTCTCCAAAGTGAAGAGTGGTTACTTGTTGTACCGTGGCTGCATTTGCTAAACCTTAAAGGTTGCAAACTGTGCCTCACAAGAGCAACAATGCAAACTATCTGTTTTCTCTGCTATCAGCCTGTTACACCTAGAAGGTAGTAACTGAATGTTGGCCTTTTTCCAGTCTGTGCAACATTGTGGCTACCTTCTAGGCATTAGACTGTAAAGGGCTTTGCATGAATATTCTATTTAGGTATGCCACTTTGTAATTCATTTTAGTGGAGCCTTGCTGAATTGAATAGAATTTAGAATGACTAAGGTTCCAGTGTGTGTTCTGTGTGAACCAGCATTAAGACTGGACTTTCAAAACTTAAGAGACACCTACACATGCAGATGAGAATCATGGATGGAGTAATTGTTGTTGTCTCCAGCCACACGACAAGCATAGCACTACAAACTACTGTACACTCGGACCAATTTCATCCAGAACATTAGCTATCAGACGGGAAACCTTGCCAAACTTCTCGAGATCCAGCATGACTTCTTAGTAAACAAACTCAGCAGACGAAGCAGATACAGTGGTGATAGTGTGTGGGCTTATTTTATCAGAGAAAAAATGACATAAAAAGAAAAGGCGTTGCATGAAAGAGTGGCGGCAGCACTGATTCTGTTGATTGCAGTTCAGCAAAAGCCTGTTAATCAGCTTTCAATGGAAATGAGCTGTGCTGAAACAGGAATCATCTAAAACCTGCAGGACAGCGGCCATAAGGGACTGACTGTGGGCATGCCTAGGTTATAGTGCAGATGATGAAGGCAAAATATACAACACAGTATACAAGGTAGGAAGGAAGTAAAACGTGGTACAAAGGGCAAAAAGAGAAAGAATGGCAGGTCACAAAGCTAGAAACAGTCAAAGCAAGGACACCAGGAAAGAATGATTGAACCACGGAAAAAAAGGGAAAATAGAGGTAACACAAAGAACGTAAGAAGAATTGTAAGGGAAAGGAACAAAAAAGCAAGGCTGGCATGAAAAGGAAAGGTAGTATGCAAGGAAGAAAGAAATAACAGAGCAAATAATAAAAGAAGAAAGAACATAAGGAATTGTGAGTGAAAGCAATGACAGAAGGGGCTATACACGAAGAGAGGAAGGTAAGAAGAAAAACATTAAGTAAAGCAGGGATGAAAGAAGAAGGAACAAAAATCTAGAGAATAAATATTTTACTTTTCCATATTCATCTGTGTAAAATTTCAATTATATTATTGACTTTTTCAGACACCGTAGATAACCTGGATGCAGGCAGTTGCCAAACAGCTAACTGAGGGCTCCCCATTCATCACCACAGTCCTTCGGTGTGACACCTCCCTCCCTCCCATCCCCTCTGTTTGCTCCTTTATTAGAGGGTGTGAAGTGGTCTTTGAATTTGGTTCCTGGTCCCTTTTCTCTGCCGCCAGCAGTAGTTCGATGCTGGGCAGGAAAAGAAATATGGACCTGCTGAACGATATTTCACTGGCACCAGCTTGACATTGATGGATAGAGGATCATTAGACGTTTGCCAGTTTGCTTGGGCGTGGAGTTATTTTCAGCAATAATGTATGGGAAGAGAGAGCAGAGGTTGGAGGAGGCTATATGATCTCAGAGGCCCATGAATTCAGCACATTGGAGCTCTGAACAAGTCTTGAAGCACAATGTGGGCGTCAAAAAAACGGTAAAGCAAATTATATCAAAGATTTAGCTTTTGTTCTCAGCTTAATGTTTATTGTGGACTCATGGAGTTTGGATTCACCATTAATCTTTTATCATTTGGTCTAGTCATTTTCATAATGTTATTTCTTTTTTTAAGGGAACATGGAAAAGCATTCCTAATGAAGACAATCAAACTACAAAGAAATTTATATTCCACAGGAAGCTGTTGAAATTGAATATTTCTAACTGAGAAAATAATAAAAAAAATCTTTACTGTGTTATAGTGCTATTCCTTAATCAAAATCATGCATAAAGTGGTATTTGCTTTATTCATGCATGCCTGAGTACTCGTCATGAATTCTGCAATCTCAACAGCAGCCCCTTCTTTTCCCGAAAAAGTGAGTGGCCTTTCCATTTCTACATAGGAAAGTGCGCCCCATGTGAGGTGCATACCATTGAAACTCATAAGACCCACAAAGCTCTTCTTTAGATAGATTACAAAATCTGAGACCTCTGAAAAACAACTTTTTGCAAGTTAGACATTAGCTAAAAAAAAAGACAATCATGCAGATGCAGATTAGGTGCTAAAAGAGCCATTAATCTCAATTTAGTTCTGCCTAACATGTCTGCTTGCTGATCAAAAGAAGTATCCATGGTTTTTACTGGGCAGGTGCAGCGCGGTCTATGTAGGTGCTTCCTGGAGCAGGTAATCACAATTCTCCAGGAGAGGAAGAGGCTGCTGGTTAGAGAGCAGATTTCTCAAGGATTACTTAGACTTGCATGAATCCCACTATGGGCATAATGTTGATGACGGGATAGGGTTACAACATAGGAACATACCGTTTTTTCTGGACTATAAACCACTTTTTTTCACGCTTTGCACCATGCAGCTTAAGAGAAGCTGTGGCTTTTCTGTTGATTTTTCCTAACTGCCAGAGGTGGAAGTCAAAGTTGGAAATGAAAGAATAAGGTGCTCATTTTCATTTCACACAAGAACATGCTAGCAGCAGGCAAGATGAAGAACAATTGTCCGGAATTTACACATTTTGACATTTATTTGCTGCATTAAACCTACGAAACCAATAAAGAGACTGTCCTCAACTCCTGCAGAGCTGAAATAAAGAGCGGACGAAGCCCCATCTTTCAGTAGAAGTTTTTAGTGCTTCAAGCACTAAGCTCCAGCTACGGGAACCAGCATTGTTCTTCGTCAATGCTCTAGGGGCTATATGTAGAGCTCCCCCTACAGGTTTGGTTGGAGAAAGTTCAGTATATATAAGCCGCTTATAGTACACTCTATGCTCCGGAAAATATGGTAGTTTATTTAGCAGAATATAGGTCCCTTTATAAACAGCTGGAATACTGTCTCCCTGGTTTTCTGGTCAGGGTAAAGACGTTCAAGCCGTATGAGTTAAATCTCAACATCTCCTTCACCTTTCCTTATTACTTTAACCAACCAGCACAAATAAACCACATTATCCAGTAGAACACACTTAAGCTTATCTCCTTCTTTCTCTTTGGCAGTGATGGTTCTGCTGATTGTCACAATGCGCCGGAGAAGGAAGCAGCCCTTGATCCTGGAGGAGGAGAGGGACATCAGAGAGAACATCGTCCGTTATGATGACGAGGGAGGGGGAGAGGAGGACACAGAGGCCTTTGACATGGTCACCCTTCGCAATCTCAACATCATTAGAGATCCCACAGTGCGGCGAGACGTCACACCTGACACTCCCACATTCTACCATTACACCTCTGCTTCACGGCCACCCTACAGGTCACTGCCAGACAATGTTGTGTTTCGAGAGTTCATTTGGGAGAGGCTGAAGGACGCTGATGTGGACCCCACAGCTCCCCCATATGATTCCCTGCAGACATATGCCTTCGAAGGCAGCGGTTCTGTAGCTGAGTCGCTGAGTTCTTTGGAGTCATTAAGTACGGACTCAGACCAGAACTACGACTACCTCAGCAATTGGGGGCCGCGCTTTAAGAAGTTGGCTGATCTGTATGGCAACAGTGACAGTGGCAACGTGCTATCATAGCCTCCAAATGTCTCTCTTTACAGTTCTGGAACTTTCATACGTGAGTAATATATTGTCAGAGCAAGTGGTTTTGTCTACCTTGGTGCAGCTAAGGAAAAGATTCAAAGACAACACAAGCGATTGAAGGGAAAACGCTTTGACTTCAAAGGTTTTTTTGGTTTGTTTACCTCCCTGTATGGGCTTTAAAAAGCTTGCCATGGTGAGTTTTGACACTGACTTCAAAAGTGGCTTGACTGAGGAGGAAGCCTTGTGTGCAAAAGACATTAAAGGTTTCATATTTTTGGGCCGGAGTCCAACCGCTGACTGCAAAATGCATTACACGTGGAAGCTGTTTTCTTTTTTTTTATAGGGAGAAACCTGTCCTTTCATTCTGTTGATGGGCACAGGCACAACACTCCTGCTTTGATGCATTCCTTTGCTATCTCTGTGCTAAAAAACAAAAAGTTTCTCATGAAAGGCTGTCCCCCTGGCAGCTAATCAGTAGTCTCTGGACTACCCAGATGAAATATGAGAACAATTTATGTTTCTTATTTCTGTTTTCTTTCTCTCTCTCTCTCTCTCTCTCTCTCTCTCTCTCTCTCTCTCTTTTTTTTTTTCTTTTTTTTGCTGAAGAAAGTTGAAAATGGCCTGTATTTTATAAATCTTAACACCCAGAGCCACATTAGTCTTGGACTCAGTCATGCCTTTTAAAGTTACTAGCCAGACCTGTTTGTAAAAGCTGATCAAATTCACTTGATATATTAGCACCTATAATGCAGCATTTGTTTCAGTATTTTGTTGTAAATCACTGTAGAAAAAAAAGAAAAAAGAAATCTAAAAGGATGTCCCTAGACTACGTGAATTTATGTTGATATCAAAAAGGGGTAAATCATTTAGTTTAGGACCTAGCAAACAGGGATTTTTATCACATCTCTGTTTATTGTCAGATTTTGACCTATCAATTTTAGCCAATTACAAATTCTCTTTAGGAATTTTAATTAGCAGGCTGATAAATATATTACAGCCTTACTGCTTTTATTTTTCATAATGCATTTGTATTAAGAGCAAAGACAGCATTACCTTATTGTATTTGACCCACTCTTATGCTTTTTTAAAACCATGAACAAATTGTTAGAGCTCAAAATGTTTTTTCAGATTTTTGCATTTGTAATTGTCATAAATTGCAGTTAGTTTTAAATATTCTGTCTCCATACTGTATGCATTCACTAAATATTAGAATATTATGATTCTTATATTAGCTTTGAGATTTTCAAACAGCTATACACTTTTCCAAATCCAACATATTCTATAGGGTGAGTGTGGTATGTTCAACCTTCTTGCTCTCTGCTAAAGGTAGCTACGGGTCAGTCTGCACCTCTGTCAGGTTAGAGAAATTACTCCAAGGTTGGGTAAAATCTGTCTTTTTTTCCATTTGATTTAAAAAAAAATGGGTAAAAAATCATGGAAAATCGAAAGTCAGAACTGTCGGATAAGCAGAATGTACATTACTCGCTGAAGTCTAGATTTATTTTGTAGTAGCCTCAATGAACAGCAAACACACCACTAAAAATATATATTGTTAGAACCAAATGTAACATACTGTTGGGGAAATTTCAAGAGAAGTTCATTAGTTAGGCTGTGCAGAAAGGTTAGTTATTTGGGTAGCACTCATATAGGGATTAATAATACATACTTTCCACAGAAGATGTATAATGTATTTATTAATTTTTCATACAATAATATCTACCCTACAGAAGATAGACCTCTTTCCACTAGATGATAGGTGTTTGCACATCATATTTTTTAAGAGCTGCTTCTTTGAACCATGCTTTTCTTTCCATGTTTTTCTATTTGTCAGCAGCTGTGTTCTTTTTTTCTCTTTAGGGCAGAAGGACATGTGTCAGTGCTACATGAAAGTACTGCATCAATGCCCAAATAATATTTATAATATGAAGATAAAATAAAACGTGGAAAAACATAATTTTTCTTTTTAGCAAATTAACGCAAAAAGCTTAAAAAAGTCTGGTCAATATGTCATTCTTCATTTGATCTAAAAGAAGATTAGGATGAAAAAACAGTCCCACAGGTAGCTGCAATGCCACTGCAAAATCCATCACTACCAGAATCAATGATTGCCAGGCATACTCGCTTAAGATTAGCCAAATCCAGCCAGTTGGCTCTACTGTGAATGCTCCTGTCAGAGGGCCATGCCATCACCATCTTTCCTATAACTGTGCAGCCAAAAAAGATATGAATGCGTATAGGAGAAGTAAATGTATTCATAATATACAATACATTGAATTAGTATGCATTCCTGAACTTGGAATGGTTCAGGATCATACCGTCTTGCTAAAACTGCTCATACTTTTCTTAATATCTCAACAATTTAGAATTTTACAATCAAAAAGAGTATTTTTGTTTTTCAGGGCCATTGAAGTTGTTCAGAGCTGATGGGAATAGATGGAGTTAAATTCAGTTCCGTCCTAAAGACTTACCTATCCGAATCAGCACCAGACTGGAGACGTTGGAGAGAGGTGTACCTTCCAACAGGACAGCAAACAGACCCTAAAAAGATAGTTAAGGTTATATTTAAATGGTTTAGATCAAAATGTGTCTGTGTGTTAGAATGGTCCTAAGTTCAGACCAAGATCTAGTCAGTAAACTTGACAATAGCTGTTTATAGGCAGTCATAATTCCTTTTTAGAATGTTTTAGTTATTTAGAAAAGAGAACTGGGCAAAAATCTGAATCCAAAGATGTGTGAAGCTGGTAGAGACTTTTTTTAAATGACTTCTGGGCTGTAATTGTAGCTTAAGATCATTTCCCAAAATACTGACCAATTACAAGTTTAAAATGTACTATTTAGGTGGTATTTTTTTATGAAACATTGATAAAATTGTATTTCTTTTTACAGGGTTGTCATCTAATTTGTGTTGGTCTTTCTCTACAAATTCCAAATATATTAAAGTGAAGTGTGGCATTGCAGATGACAATGTTGAAACGGTTTTATTTAAACTCTATTATATTGAAAGGCCAACCAATGTCTTTATCAATATGTGCATAAGCTTTACCATCTATAGGAGGACCTATTGTTGCTAAGAGACCCAGCACAGGTGTAAACAACTAATGTTGAATGAGTCAAAACTTGAATTCTTGCTCTGCCGGATGTCATTTGTTACCTCAAGAGGTCCAACAGAGTAAATCCTTTAAAATTTATGTTTTTGTACATCTGCTTTTGAAATCTTTGTTTTGCAATTATTAATACATACTTCATCACTAAGCTGCATTTTATGATTGTACAGCTTTTTTCTATAAATAAATACATCTCTGGCTAGTATCTTTAACACTATATGACACACACATTCATACATATACAGTATAACCAAGTGCAGTAGTTGATGTGCTAAGGAAGTTGTGTGAATCATAAAAAGAACAACATCCATCAGTTTTATATATCATAAGACGACAAAGAGAAACACAAACGTTGTCTTGAAAGTGCATTTTGCAGATGTTGCAACGTAGTGTGTGTCTCTGTCTGTTTCTACTTCTGCCTTTCTATTACCTACAGTAAAAATCCTAAGCTATGAACTGTCTGGGTGTAATTGTTCAGATTTTCTATGAGGCTGGTGGTTCTGATTCAAGAGCCTTGATGATGGATTTTTATGTGTTGTGCTAGAGATTTATTCCACCTAGACTCTAGGAATAAAATAAGTATTTGTTTTTAAAGTGACAGACCTTAAAAAGGTCCGGTTTGTAAGTAATTTAATTTTGCTTCCGTAGTTTGCAAAGTCCAGCATAATGTCATTTGAAAATGAAATCTTAAAAAATGTATGGTTTGAATATTGATTGTGAAAGGACACACTGTATAATAATCATAATGTGCCAATTCTATTATTAGTTTTTTTTTTCAAGCTTAAACAAAGTTATGTTAGTGCTGGGTATGCACATGTGAAGCCACTATGTATTATTTATTTCAAAGAGGCAGAACTGTGGAAATGATGTTTTTATCTTTTTGCTGAAAATAAAATGACATTCGGTTCTTTAAAAGTCTTACAAGAATTTATTGGTTTGCTTATCCAAACTTTAAAGTAATCTCTGGCTAAAATCTACACATATAGTACCAGTAATAACCGATGCTTCTAAACCTGTTACCACTGTTAAGGACACTATAAAGCTAGAAATCGATAGAAAGGAGGCAGCTTTGTCTTTGTGATTGACAGAATATAAATGTACGTTGGATCACAGAGGGTTGTTTGCTACATCTGCACTTTATCTGGGAATACTGGTGAAGTTTACTTATAGATCCATGTATAACTATGGAAGGGGAACATGATATTAGCAAGTGCTGTGTACTGTTAGCAATGGAAATGAGTTAAAACTAAATCAGCTTCTTTCTTGTGTAACACTCTAAACACCTTAAGAGGTTATTCAAATTTATATACACTGAATAAAGCAGACCAGTGGACACAATTCAGGGAACTTGCCACCCTTTTCATGATGCAATTCCACCAGACTAATATATGATGTAAACAGCAGGAACAGAAAAGGTAATCACAATACTGCATACGCATGTGTTGTGAAAGGTTACCAGAAGATTATGAATATATTATGAACATATTAATTAAATATAACTTCCAGTTATATTTAGATAATTTGATTTGAATAGATCATTCAAATCAAGGGTACAACAAATTAATTATTATCAATAGTTCAATTATTGTAAGTGTAATTTGGGGTTTTTAGTCTCTTACATAAATAAATGTTTGGACTCCTGGATCGGCTGCTTAAATCAAGTTGCCTCCACAAATTTAGTAGTTTAGGCTATGGCTATCAGAAACATTATTAATCACAACCAAAGAAATCTGTATCTGTTCATTCGGATGTTACTAAAAGAAGAATAAATCCAGCCTGAGTGATAAATTGTACACTGCATAAAATAAACACAAAAAACCACGGGTTAAAATACAGTGGTGCCTTTATCAGCTCCAATCACAGAGTGTTATTATACTGTATCTAATAACCACAAGGATACAAAACATTGCAGAAAATAAGCACAAGTACATAAGCAAATAAAAGGGGAACAGGGGTTTAAAAGTTCATCAGTCGGTTCTTGGAGCATTGGCATTTAGTTAAAACTCTTAAAACCATCAGCAATTGAGTCAGAAAGCTTATTTTAAACAAAACACAAACACAACTTACATTCTACCTAGTTCACCGAAGCAGAGCACTTAAGAAGCATCAGATGGAAAGGGGGAATGATGGATGTTACTATTTTTAAATTATCAGTCTCCTTCCTGTGGAAGCAACTACCAGTTTTAGTCTGTGAGGCAGACAACCTGTCTACTTTTAAGGGTAGTCATAAAACTTATAGTTAGAGTGGCTCAGGTTATCTTAAGCCAGGGGCCTTCAATGTTTTCCAGGTCAAGGACACCCAAACTGATGGCGAGATGGAGCGGGGACCCCCTAAATATATATATATTGTATGAAATTGTATTATTTCAAACTTGTCCTATAGTCACTCTATTACAGAAGGGGTAATGTAACGAAAGTAATTTCGGTCTGGGATTATTCAAGTATTTCTGAT